TTCCGTCCATTAGAGCATCTGCATTGTTGGTGTTTATAATGATGATGGATGGATGATTTTATTTAATGGATTATGAGTAATATACATCATCCTTTCCATAAAACCTTTCTGGTTTCGTTTTTTCTAATTTCGTAAAACACTTCCATTTTCTATAAAAAAACCACTTTTACCCATACTTTTTCATACCCCACCTATCACATCATACTTTTTCTCTAATATTCTATCCATCACATCTTACTTTTACCCATCACATCAGAGGCAAAATTGAAAAGTCAACCAAAATTACACTTTCCTTATTCTGGCCCAAAGTCAAAATATGAAGTGTTTAAAGGTGGTCCAAATTCAAAACCAGTAACCTTCATGGATGAGTTTTAATGTTTATTTTTTTTGCAATTTCTTAAGACTAACCGATAAAACTCATCCATAAAGCTTATTGGTTTTTATTTTAGGTTCCATCAGAAAGACTAATAATTGAAAGAGGAATGATCATTTCAATTTTGGGTTTAAAGCTTCAAACTCAGCGACGAGTTTAGAAAAGAGTACGAGAGAAGAGAAGAAGCTTAATTGAGGAGAGAGATAAATATGAATATATAATTTTGTCTATGTTCTTAATAAAAACGTTAACAAAAGACCATTCTTGAAAAATAATACTCCCTCCGTCCCAAAAAGATTTACACATTTCAAAAAAATTGCGTCCCACAATCCCTTACTCATTTCCATTAAAAAACCACTTTTACCCCTTACTTTTTCAAATCCTACCTATCACATCATACCTTTTTCCTAATAATCTACACATCACATCTTACTTTTACCCATCACATCAAGGGTATTTTTGGAAAGTCAACACAAAATTATCACTCCCTTAATTTCAACTTTAGTCAAAATGGGTAACACTTTATGAGACGGATGGACTATAATAATTGAGAACTAAATTAGTAATATTTGATATGTAGAGACTAAATATGTAAAACGACCTATAACTAGAGACTTTTTATATCGACTAATTAAAAATTTTGTTTCCAAACTACTACGCCACAAACCAATAACAAAAAAATCCAATGCCAAACACGACAACAAGAAGTGATTTGATCATGCGTTTGTCTTTGAGCTGTCTTTTTCCCTCAAGAAATAAACTCTGGGAGATGAGGATGATGTTTCTTTGACTTGCAGAATTGGTAACGAAAAAACAAAGGCTGTTTAATGAATGCTTGAATTCCAATGGACGATTACAATCTTGTTCTTTCAATCAAATTGGAATTGTGTTTAACTTTTTTCTCTTTTAGATATTTTTTTAACTACCCCGGAGTATTAACTAAAGCAATATAATAATGTGAATTACTCCCACACCCTGCCACATCAGATACACCACGCGTGGATGAGGCGAGAGTGCCAGACACAATAATTTCTCCCCTTTCTCCATGTCAAGCGCGAGGCAACTCCCTTTTATTTTTTTTATTTTTTAAAATTTTTTTAATTTATTTTTTTTGTTAAGTAAGAAATATTTTAAAAGGAGTATATCTATTTTTTATTTGAAAAAAATATAAACAAAATAAGCTTAAATAATTAAAACATGTGAAAAAATGTACTCCCTCTGTTCCTTAAAACCCTTCCGCCCTAAATTTTTGCGCACCCCATTAAACGCTTTTACTCCCACCTAAAATATCTAAAATATATCCCACTATGTAGTTTATTGCGGGTAGAAGTTGTTTTAGGGATATTTTAGACATTTTAGGTGGGATAGAAGTATTTTATGGGGTGCGTAAAAAATTAAAATGGAAGTGTTTTGTGGAACGGAGGGAGTAAAATTGATAAAAACAATAATTTGTCATTGCAAGACATGTCACTCCACTCTCGTGTCACACGCTGACTGGACTATTTTTGATTGATTGAAATCTTTCATGTCACCATGTGTCATTTTATTGATTACTTGTCATTGTCAATGCTCTTAAAATATGTTGGAACTATGTTGGTCATGTGGACTTTGTATGTCAAGTGAACTTGGGAAAAAATGTACACAATTTAGGAAAAAAGAGTAAAGTAGAAGTAAAATATTCAAAATATATACCAAAATAGGACTTTCTTTTTTTATTCACGAAATAGAAGTTAAAACACATTTACATTACCAAACATGATCATGTACACTACCAAAAAATATAGTGATGTGCACGTGTACACTGCCACATTATCACAGTGCGAAGTCCTATTTTGAGAATAAAAATAAGGAACTCGTAATTTGATATTATTTTCTAAGTTTTAATCCTATTTAGTGTGATTTCTATACAATTTACAATCTGACCTACATGTACGATTAGAAGTTCCACCCAATCAAAGCCCGTCATAAAGTGGTTGTAACAATGAACCCAAAACGTAGTTTTAACAATGTCATATTTGTGCCACATCAAAAGTTAACACCCGTTAATTTTTTAAAACCTATTCTATAACAATAAACTTACAACACTAACTTTAATAAAATATTTACACATAAATAAATTAAACAAAATAAATTGTTACATTTACCTAGATTAATCAAATAATATTTTGTCACTTATCAAATTAATTAACACGGAGTACTACTTGTAAATAACAAAAAAACAAAAATAAAAAAGAAAAGTAAGAGAGATGAGGATAGGTGGGACCCTCTCCTCCTCTTAAACCCAACCTTTACTTGGAAGAACCGATTTTAAACAAAATTGTGAAGTGACTCAATCCTAAATTCCTAATAGTTAATGTTGGGTTCAAGTTGGCTTTAAACCTCAAACTTTCTCTCATTTTACAATCATCAGATTTTGAATCCTAGTCTTCTTGATTTGGAAAATACTCCCTCCGTCCCTAAATATTTGCAACGTTTACTTTTTTAGCGTTGCAAGAACTTTTGTTTATTTCTATATTTTCATTGGTTATTTGATAAAATAAAATATTCTTGACACCTCTTATTTCGAAAAAAATTTCATGTAATTTTTTGATATGTAAATTTTATTTTTTATTTCTATACCAATATGTAAATAAAATGAATTGAAAAAACTTGATATTTTACCTCGGAAATACAAGTGTGGCAAATATTTAGGGACGGAGGGAGTACTCAGTATTAGTTGTCCTCTGCTAAGGCTATCCTAGTGGTGGGTATAATATTGACTCAATCTTGTTTCAAATCGAACCGATAATATCGAATTGAAATATGAGATTTCAATTTTAAAATGCTTATACGTAATAAGTTATATTTCGAACCAAATCTACTTGTTTTCAATTCAAAATGGTATATGATGAGTTTTGAAAAAATGAAAAACTACTGATGTATCATAACTTTTTTGAAACGATTTTAATTTTCTTAATCCTAATATCTTTATTAGATTATTTTATTACTCAAGCGTTTATTTACATCTACATTTTCTTAAAAATTCCAAAATATAACTCGGCATTACACTTATTGAGTAAGAATTTAAAAATATAGTGGAGCATCAATTTTTTAATTAGTTTTTTAAAAATAAAAATATTTTTTTTTATCCTTTTGGATACTCCGTATGTTTTAAAATTGAAGTTCTTCAGGGTTAAAGAGAAGAAAATGCTAGGATGCTACCACATGGGTGCTATCATGGATGTACTCATGCTTCGCACAGACAATTATCGCCTGTGTTTGTTTGTGCGAAGCATGGTTGCACCCATAGTAGCACTCTTGAATAAAATGGTTTTTACTTCGTACGGAGTATGAAATTGGATGAAGATAGCGGGTTGTCAGTTGTCACTCCCAAGCTACCCAGGTCGATCTCGTCCTCTGTTAGCTTATTCGCGTATAATACGCGTATTATACACTCGTACGTATGATACACGTATTATACTCCCGAATACGAATTTTTAATGGGACGAACGTATAATACACGTATTTTTGACCCCAAACGTATTTACGAATTTTATACGTATTATATTGCAAAATCATTGGGGTCAAATTCAGATGAGGTCAAATAAATTGGTTGTCTTTCTGCAAAAATACAAATCTTTAAAATTTGGCGACTCAATTATTATAAAAGTATTAAAAGTCGAATTGTAGTTCAAGTCATCCTCCAATACCTTTTGTTAATAAAATGTCACCTACACTCTACTAGTTTCTTCGATTTCGTCCGGCTGAAAATCCAACATTGCATCTGCACTAGCGAATAGTAGACCAACATTTTTCTCTATTTGTTTAGATTTTGAAAATGTGGTCAATTTTTTGTATTTAGTCCTTAAGATTAAATATTTGTCCACGTTTAAAAATACAAATTTGATTATATATATATGATCTAAATTCAAAAAAATCTAAGTTCGTAACTATATATTTGTATTCTAAAAATAAAAAATATAGACTAAATTTAATTTTACTCAACTTTTAAATTGTGTAAAGCATTATTTAGTAAGTTCAAATTTAAATTATAAAGAGACTTAAATCTTCCTTTTAAATTCATGATAAACATTTAATCAATTTTGTAAAACATAAATTGTCTAATAATATAAATTTTTCATGTCTTAAATA